TCCATTGACAAATAATGGTGCCAACCTTCTAAAAAGTATGTGTTATGGCGCAAAATTTGAAAATCGTAAAAATCATATATAATGCTGTATACAAAAATATGTCTTCTCGCGCAGCAGACACCTTCTCCTCTCATGCGAGCCAATGAGCGCTTGCATTATCCCGCTTACCCCTCTGCACACTCGTGAATCCCATCTTTCTAAATTCATGAAATTCTCCCACTAAAGTAATATGCGCGCGCACACTGGCACTCTGGTGTTCTGCTCTCTGGCACAATATTTGTGGCTTTAATTTTCACGAACGCATTTTTCCTATCACATTTGTCTTTTCATTAATTGCTTTTTAGAAAATTGTATTTTTAATGAAGTGTATAAAAATAATAATTAAAAACAAAAATTTACTAATGACTTGCGGGTGCCTTCGTTTTCAAAATAATCTTTCGTAAACCAGCTACATCTTTCTTTTTACAAATACACGATTTTCAACATATAATATTTTATCTTTATTGTTTTCTCAATTTTCTCAAACATGAGTTACACCAGCAAAAAAAACTATACATTGTTTTAATAAAAAGCTAAGAAATTTTAAATAATGTAAGCAAAGTAGCAAACACCTTCTTCTCTCGTGCGAGCCAATGAGCGCTTGCAGTTTCCCAGTTAACCCTCTACTCGCTCGTGAAGCCTTCTTCAGCGTTGTGCGCTTGCACACTAACACATTGTGGTTTCTTCTTCGACGCAATATTTACGGCTTCGATTCCACGTACACATTTTCTCTGTGATCTTCGTCCTTTATACAATTATTTTTTGTTTTTCTCGTTTGAGTCTTGGACTCTTTTAGACATAAGTTACACATTTTTACGGTAAAAATGCCACGAAAGGCCATAGTGACAAAAGAAAAAATTCTGCAGGTGATTAAAAATAACAATTTTTGTATTTTTAAAGAAAACGAAAAATGTCTTTTAGGTGCAAGAAGACAAGTATGGAAGGATATTGCACAAAAAATAAGTGAAAATGACAAATCAAAATGTATTCAGCATCTCACTCCTTACTTGTTTATTCTCAGAAATACTGATGGATGCTTGGATGCTTTGCTGCATGAAGCACATCGCGATATTGTTGAAAACTTTGATTTTTATCAAGAAACTGTCCATTCTGAAAATTCAGTGGAAATGGAGATTGTTGAACAGTCTGAAATAATTCTTGATATAAAACCGGAAACGGTAAATGAAAAAGAAACATTGATGTTTCTTGTGCCTTGGGAATTTTTTGAAAATTTCAGAACTAGTAGCACAACACTAAGATCGGGATGGACGCAGTATCTTTTAAAACATTTTGAAAAGAATATATGCAATATTGCATTTAAGTACCATAAATCTTTGAAAGGAGTAGAGAAAAATTTTCGGATATTTCATGCGAAAGCTCATTGTAAATATAATGGTTGTGCTACTTATACTTTCACTATATACTCAGGAGTTCTAGAAGGACAAGAAATACCCGTATTTGTGGAAAGAACAGGTAAAATAATTCATGGAAAAAATAAAACAGAGCCTCACAAACTTGATAATGAAAAAAATGAAAATTGTTCTAAATTAATAAATCACGAAAAAAATGATGAGCATGAAAAAGAAAAAAAAGAACAGACTTTTTACGAATTAATTAAAAAATTGCGTACATTGCAAGAGCACTACTCGACCAATGTTGAGTTCAGTAGCAAATATTTAAAAGGATTTATTCAACATCTGGGCTTCACTCCATTCGAGATATTATTATTTTCTTACGAACAAGTCAATCATATTCTACAAATAAGTAAAGATGGGAAAGTAGCTTGCTCTTTGTTATCTGCAAATTTCATCAGCAGGGACACAGTTTTAGACGAAGAACTTCTTAAATATTGGGCTCTAATTATTCAAGATGATTCACAATTCCATCTACTCGATATTATTACGTCCAGCAACGAAAAGAAAAACTTCACTTTTTACATATCTCAATTTATGTATGTACTGAAATGTCATTCAAAACGAGTTAACCCTTTCATTGCGATTGTTGAGGTTCATTTTGATCCACCCACAATTGATGCGTTAATGAAAGGTTTCAATAATATGACAATACATGCTTATTTACAAGAAGTGTGGGACAATGAGTTTGCGGGTGATAATGAGCTACATCGCTTTATTTCGACAAACACTTTCATTCATGTTGTTCCATCACATGTGATGTATTCAGCGAATGAAAAAATCGAAAATTTTGAAATATCTGAAGAATGCAAAGAAATGCAAAGAACAGTTGTGGCGTTAATTGTTTATTCTTCTAGTATTGAAACTGCAGCTGACATTTTTGCTGCGGCTGTAAAAGTATTCTGCCCTAAGTACGAAAATGAGGAAACTAAAAATTCATTAGAATTTTTGACAGATATTGCAAAAGTAGAAGGAATTAATTTTCATTGCTCCTTCTATAATGTGATACATCTTGACTCGTCTGATAATATTGAATGTTCCAACTTTCAAATTTCTCCTTACTTTTGCTACTTTAATAGAATTTTTGAAGAAAACATTTCTTTCCTTCACGATAAAACTAGTAAAAAGAACAATTTTCACTGTGTACAGTTTTTAAATTATTTGTTGTTTGAAATGCTGGCATTTTATCCATTGATTTCCCAGAAAATTTTTGAGCCTTTTTACGCAAAGATTGTAAAAAATAAAAATACTAACTATTCACAAATAGTAGAAAAGGAAATTATTGGAACTTCAACTATTAAGTTAATAGAAAACTTATACGGTAATTTTAACTGTAAACTAAGTAAGCAAAAATTAAAAACTGCAGGACAAAAAGAGAAAGTCAAAACGACCCAATTTTTCGAATATGAACTCTCAGATTCTGAATTGAGCATTAGGTCAAATGATTCATAAACTTCATACAAAGATCCAGATCTTGCAGTCGAATGTTGGGTAGATACAAAAAGACAGAGACGTACATCAAAAGTTATAAAAGATTTAAAGAATTCGAGTAAAAATATTCCCTTGAACACAAAAACAGATAGAAATGATATTATCTCACATTCAGAAACAGTTTCGAACGAAGAACCTTGGAGTGATGCTAGACAATTTCATAAGTTAAATCCAGAAAATGTATATTATATTTCAGGTGTTCAATTAGATTACCACTGCTTAAAAACCCTGCTCCCAACCAACTATCTAGAAGATAATGTTATTGACGCATTTGGCTTGATGATTCTAGAAAAGCACAACGACGTCAGTACATTGATTTTCAATACACAACATGTGGTTTCGATCATAAACCAAAATTACTGCATTGTTGATGTTCTGAAGTGGTGCAAGCAAGTTAGGGCCAAAAATTATGATATTTGGATTTTACCAATTTATGACAAAAGCCATTGGACGTTGATGATAATCCTCCTCAAACAATCTTCTATCGTTTACATTGACAGCCAACACGGCGACCTTCAACAGACATGGATAAATTTGATTTGTGACTTCTTACCAAAGGTACAGGAAAAGCCAATCGATTTTATAAATTGGACACTATATGTACCCAAAGATATTCCCCGGCAAAAAGAAACAAAAAAAAGCAAAGGAAATTGCGGTTCACACCTCTGCATTTGGGAACACATTATTGTCAGCGGTCAGAATATTAAATTTGAAGAGAAACAAATGAACCAAATTCGAGCTTGGATCATGTCTTCCTTGATAGAATGTAAACCATTTAAAGATACGAGACAAGCTACAGTTGTCTTAAAAATGACTAGGGAAAGAACTGTCAAGTATTCAGGAGTGATAACGACAAAAAAAATGAACCACCATGTGGTTTTTCAAGCACAAGAGAGTTCTGCTCGACAATAAAAACAATAATTTCAGCAGCAAAAATATGAAAAATTTTCATATCATATAATAGTTTTACAGAAGTAAGTATTATGAACAAAACGAGAAATATAACAATTCCTAAAAAAGTATTTAAAAAAAAAACAAAAAAAACAAAAAATAACAAAAAAAAACAAAAAAAAACAAAAAATAAAAAAAAAAAGGGATGTGAAATCGAACTAGGAGCCTCCACGCGGCACATCCTGGATGTTTTGTGTTAAGAAACAACAGATCCTAGACGTTACTATTATCACTTTAATGTACGATAACTTAGACTGAAAAAAATTGAGTGACTTTTTGTTTTCTATTCTCGATTTTCTCAAAAATTGTCAAAATTTAATAATTGCCCGGCTGCTGGCTATTGTTTATAACAATAAAAATTGTTATTATTTTTTTTATAACACCTAATCATCTCTAGAATGTAACGATGGGATTCCCATCCTTTCCTAACACCCTAGATTTTTCTCTACTCTCAATTTTCTCGAAAAATGTCAAAATCCAATAATTGCCCGGCTGCTGGCTATTGTTTATAAAAATAAAAATTGTTATTATTTTTTTCATAACACCTTATCATCTCTAGAATGTAACGATGGGATTCCCATCGTTTCCTAACAGACTAGATTTTTTTCTACACTCGATTTTCTCAAAAATTGTCAAAATTTAATAATTGCCCGGCTGCTGGCTATTGTTTATAAGAATAAAAATTGTTATTATTTTTTTTATAACACCTAATCATCTCTAGAATGTAACGATGGGATTCCCATCGTTTCCTAACACCCTAGATTTTTCTCTACTCTCAATTTTCTCAAAAAATGTAAAAATTCAATAATTGCCCGGCTGCTGGCTATTGTTTATAAGAATAAAAATTGTTATTATTTTTTTCATAACACCTAATCATCTCTAGAATGTAACTATAGGATTCCCATCGTTTCCTAACACCTTAGATTTTTTTCTATTCTCGATTTTCTCAAAAATTGTCAAAATTTAATAATTGCCCGGCTGCTGGCTATTGTTTATAACAATAAAAATTGTTATTAATTTTTTTATAACACCTTATCATCTCTAGAATGTAACTATAGGATTCCCATCGTTTCCTAACACCTTAGATTTTTTTCTATTTTCGATTTTCTCAAAAATTGTCAAAATTTAATAATTGCCCGGCTGCTGGCTATTGTTTATAACAATAAAAATTGTTATTATTTTTTTTATAACACCTAATCATCTCTAGAATGTAACGATGGGATTCCCATCGTTTCCTAACACCCTAGATTTTTCTCTACTCTCAATTTTCTCGAAAAATGTCAAAATCCAATAATTGCCCGGCTGCTGGCTATTGTTTATAAAAATAAAAATTGTTATTATTTTTTTCATAACACCTTATCATCTCTAGAATGTAACGATGGGATTCCCATCGTTTCCTAACACACTAGATTTTTTTCTACACTCGATTTTCTCAAAAATTGTCAAAATTTAATAATTGCCCGGCTGCTGGCTATTGTTTATAACAATAAAAATTGTTATTATTTTTTTTATAACACCTAATCATCTCTAGAATGTAACGATGGGATTCCCATCGTTTCCTAACACCCTAGATTTTTCTCTACTCTCAATTTTCTCAAAAAATGTAAAAATTCAATAATTGCCCGGCTGCTGGCTATTGTTTATAAGAATAAAAATTGTTATTATTTTTTTCATAACACCTAATCATCTCTAGAATGTAACTATAGGATTCCCATCGTTTCCTAACACCTTAGATTTTTTTCTATTCTCGATTTTCTCAAAAATTGTCAAAATTTAATAATTGCCCGGCTGCTGGCTATTGTTTATAAGAATAAAAATTGTTATTATTTTTTTCATAACACCTAATCATCTCTAGAATGTAACTATAGGATTCCCATCGTTTCCTAACACCTTAGATTTTTTTCTATTCTCGATTTTCTCAAAAATTGTCAAAATTTAATAATTGCCCGGCTGCTGGCTATTGTTTATAACAATAAAAATTGTTATTATTTTTTTTATAACACCTAATCATCTCTAGAATGTAACGATGGGATTCCCATCGTTTCCTAACACCCTAGATTTTTCTCTACTCTCAATTTTCTCGAAAAATGTCAAAATCCAATAATTGCCCGGCTGCTGGCTATTATTTATAAAAATAAAAATTGTTATTATTTTTTTCATAACACCTTATCATCTCTAGAATGTAACGATGGGATTCCCATCGTTTCCTAACACACTAGATTTTTTTCTACACTCGATTTTCTCAAAAATTGTCAAAATTTAATAATTGCCCGGCTGCTGGCTATTGTTTATAACAATAAAAATTGTTATTATTTTTTTTATAACACCTAATCATCTCTAGAATGTAACGATGGGATTCCCATCGTTTCCTAACACCCTAGATTTTTCTCTACTCTCAATTTTCTCAAAAAATGTAAATATTCAATAATTGCCCTTCTGCTGGCTATTGTTTATAAGAATAAAAATTGTTATTATTTTTTTCATAACACCTAATCATCTCTAGAATGTAACTATAGGATTCCCATCGTTTCCTAACACCTTAGATTTTTTTCTATTCTCGATTTTCTCAAAAATTGTCAAAATTTAATAATTGCCCGGCTGCTGGCTATTGTTTATAACAATAAAAATTGTTATTAATTTTTTTATAACACCTTATCATCTCTAGAATGTAACTATAGGATTCCCATCGTTTCCTAACACCTTAGATTTTTTTCTATTCTCGATTTTCTCAAAAATTGTCAAAATTTAATAATTGCCCGGCTGCTGGCTATTGTTTATAACAATAAAAATTGTTATTATTTTTTTTATAACACCTAATCATCTCTAGAATGTAACGATGGGATTCCCATCGTTTCCTAACACCCTAGATTTTTCTCTACTCTCAATTTTCTCGAAAAATGTCAAAATCCAATAATTGCCCGGCTGCTGGCTATTGTTTATAAAAATAAAAATTGTTATTATTTTTTTCATAACACCTTATCATCTCTAGAATGTAACGATGGGATTCCCATCGTTTCCTAACACCCTAGATTTTTCTCTACTCTCAATTTTCTCAAAAAATGTAAAAATTTAATAATTGCCCGGCTGCTGGCTATTGTTTATAACAATAAAAATTGTTATTATTTTTTTTATAACACCTAATCATCTCTAGAATGTAACGATGGGATTCCCATCGTTTCCTAACACCCTAGATTTTTCTCTACTCTCAATTTTCTCGAAAAATGTCAAAATCCAATAATTGCCCGGCTGCTGGCTATTGTTTATAAAAATAAAAATTGTTATTATTTTTTTCATAACACCTTATCATCTCTAGAATGTAACGATGGGATTCCCATCGTTTCCTAACACACTAGATTTTTTTCTACACTCGATTTTCTCAAAAATTGTCAAAATTTAATAATTGCCCGGCTGCTGGCTATTGTTTATAACAATAAAAATTGTTATTATTTTTTTTATAACACCTAATCATCTCTAGAATGTAACGATGGGATTCCCATCGTTTCCTAACACCCTAGATTTTTCTCTACTCTCAATTTTCTCGAAAAATGTCAAAATCCAATAATTGCCCGGCTGCTGGCTATTGTTTATAAAAATAAAAATTGTTATTATTTTTTTCATAACACCTTATCATCTCTAGAATGTAACGATGGGATTCCCATCGTTTCCTAACACACTAGATTTTTTTCTACACTCGATTTTCTCAAAAATTGTCAAAATTTAATAATTGCCCGGCTGCTGGCTATTGTTTATAACAATAAAAATTGTTATTATTTTTTTTATAACACCTAATCATCTCTAGAATGTAACGATGGGATTCCCATCGTTTCCTAACACCCTAGATTTTTCTCTACTCTCAATTTTCTCAAAAAATGTAAAAATTCAATAATTGCCCGGCTGCTGGCTATTGTTTATAAGAATAAAAAATGTTATTATTTTTTTCATAACACCTAATCATCTCTAGAATGTAACTATAGGATTCCCATCGTTTCCTAACACCTTAGATTTTTTTCTATTCTCGATTTTCTCAAAAATTGTCAAAATTTAATAATTGCCCGGCTGCTGGCTATTGTTTATAACAATAAAAATTGTTATTATTTTTTTCATAACACCTAATCATCTCTAGAATGTAACGATGGGATTCCCATCGTTTCCTAACACCCTAGATTTTTCTCTACTCTCAATTTTCTCGAAAAATGTCAAAATCCAATAATTGCCCGGCTGCTGGCTATTGTTTATAAAAATAAAAATTGTTATTATTTTTTTCATAACACCTTTTCATCTCTAGAATGTAACGATGGAATTCCCATCGTTTCCTAACACACTAGATTTTTTTCTACACTCGATTTTCTCAAAAATTGTCAAAATTTAATAATTGCCCGGCTGCTGGCTATTGTTTATAACAATAAAAATTGTTATTATTTTTTTTATAACACCTAATCATCTCTAGAATGTAACGATGAGATTCCCATTGTTCCCTAACACCCTAGATTTTTTTCTACTTTCGATTTTCTCAAAAAATGTCAAAATCCAATAATTGCCCGGCTGCTGGCTATTGTTTATAACAATAAAAATTGTTATTATTTTTTTCTTAACACCTTATCATCTCTAGAATGTAACTATAGGATTCCCATCGTTTCCTAACACCCTAGATTTTTTTCTACACTCGATTTTCTCAAAAAATGTCAAAAATTCAATAATTGCCCGGCTGCTGGCTATTGTTTATAACAATAAAAATTGTTATTAATTTTTTTATAACACCTTATTATCTCTAGAATGTAACTATAGGATTCCCATCGTTTTCTAACACCTTAGATTTTTTTCTATTCTCGATTTTCTCAAAAATTGTCAAAATTTAATAATTGCCCGGCTGCTGGCTATTGTTTATAACAATAAAAATTGTTATTATTTTTTTTATAACACCTAATCATCTCTAGAATGTAACGATAAGATTCCCATTGTTTCCTAACACCCTAGATTTTTTTCTACTTTCGATTTTCTCAAAAAATGTCAAAATCCAATAATTGCCCGGCTGCTGGCTATTGTTTATAACAATAAAAATTGTTATTATTTTTTTCTTAACACCTTATCATCTCTAGAATGTAACTATAGGATTCCCATCGTTTCCTAACACCCTAGATTTTTTTCTACACTCGATTTTCTCAAAAAATGTCAAAAATTCAATAATTGCCCGGCTGCTGGCTATTGTTTATAACAATAAAAATTGTTATTAATTTTTTTATAACACCTTATCATCTCTAGAATGTAACTATAGGTTTCCCATCGTTTCCTAAAACCTTAGATTTTTTTCGATTCTCGATTTTCTCAAAAATTGTCAAAATTTAATAATTGCCCGGCTGCTGGCTATTGTTTATAACAATAAAAATTGTTATTATTTTTTTTATAACACCTAATCATCTCTAGAATGTAACGATGGGATTCCCATCGTTTCCTAACACCCTAGATTTTTCTCTACTCTCAATTTTCTCAAAAAATGTAAAAATTCAATAATTGCCCGGCTGCTGGCTATTGTTTATAAGAATAAAAATTGTTATTATTTTTTTCATAACACCTAATCATCTCTAGAATGTAACTATAGGATTCCCATCGTTTCCTAACACCCTAGATTTTTTTCTACACTCGATTTTCTCGAAAAATGTCAAAATCCAATAATTGCCCGGCTGCTGGCTATTGTTTATAAAAATAAAAATTGTTATTATTTTTTTCATAACACCTTATCATCTCTAGAATGTAACGATGGGATTCTCATCGTTTCCTAACACACTAGATTTTTTTCTACACTCGATTTTCTCAAAAATTGTCAAAATTTAATAATTGCCCGGCTGCTGGCTATTGTTTATAACAATAAAAATTGTTATTATTTTTTTTATAACACCTAATCATCTCTAGAATGTAACGATGAGATTCCCATTGTTTCCTAACACCCTAGATTTTTTTCTACTTTCGATTTTCTCAAAAAATGTCAAAATCCAATAATTGCCCGGCTGCTGGCTATTGTTTATAACAATAAAAATTGTTATTATTTTTTTCTTAACACCTTATCATCTCTAGAATGTAACTATAGGATTCCCATCGTTTCCTAACACCCTAGATTTTTTTCTACACTCGATTTTCTCAAAAAATGTCAAAAATTCAATAATTGCCCGGCTGCTGGCTATTGTTTATAACAATAAAAATTGTTATTAATTTTTTTATAACACCTTATCATCTCTAGAATGTAACTATAGGATTCCCATCGTTTCCTAACACCTTAGATTTTTTTCTATTCTCGATTTTCTCAAAAATTGTCAAAATTTAATAATTGCCCGGCTGCTGGCTATTGTTTATAAAAATAAAAATTGTTATTATTTTTTTCATAACACCTTATCATCTCTAGAATGTAACGATGGGATTCCCATCGTTTCCTAACACACTAGATTTTTTTCTACACTCGATTTTCTCAAAAAATGTCAAAATTTAATAATTGCCCGGCTGCTGGCTATTGTTTATAACAATAAAAATTGTTATTATTTTTTTTATAACTCCTAATCATCTCTAGAATGTAACGATTGGATTCCCATCGTTTGCTAATTCCCTAGAATTTTTTCTACACTCGATTTTCTCGAGGAACTCAATATTTCACTTTATATGTATTTCTTTATTTATTTATTTATAATAATAATTATTATGTCTTGGTGTTTGTAGTTTTCATTTGTTGTTTGTTTTTTGTGTTAATTTTTGTAATTTTTGTGCGAAAATGCTTTTTACTGACAATAATGGATAGCGGGGCATATTTCTCGAATTTCGTGTGATACGCCTATGGGACGCTGCTGAACTTGACTGCTAGCTTCACTTCACTCCTTCAGACGGCGTTGGTGCAGAATTCAAAAAAGAAGCAGTGCATGCTAGCCTTCTTTGTAAACCAAACGATGCCATTTATACATTCGAGAAATTTGTTGACTGGGCCAAAAGGAATTCCAAAAGTGTTGATATATTTTCTTACAACGAAAAAGAACATCAAAAAACGAAAAGATTTTTAAACGCAAGATTCGCTGCAGCCCCACCAGTTCCGGATATCATGAAGAGTCACTGTTTCGTGCCAAACAATGAGGAATTAGTCATTAAAAATTTTTCAAATGCTAGTACTTCTTCGATTCTTTCATATGAGAAGTGCAAAAAGTGAAAGGTGAGAAATTAAATATTAATTTAGTTCTAAATTTACTAGATAACTTTTTGATATCAGTTTTTGTAAGAAAGACTTTTAATTCAAAAAAAATATTAAAACGATTTCCGGTAGGTGTATTCCAACAAACATGAAAAACTTTTCAAAGATGAATTCAGATTTGCATTTTGCGACAAAAAATCTTCTATTATCAATTTTTATAAAAATCGAGTAATTTTAACCGTTTAAAATTTTTTTAGCGGTTATAATGGATTTGCTAAATTGTTTAACACTTCTTTGGTGGTCTATAGTGAACTAGAGTACTATCGTGAGTTAATAAAAACAGAACAGAGTCCAATAATCAAACTTTAGACTTAAATATTTATCAATTTCTTTACTTTTTTTAAGTTTTTTGACAATTAAATGATGATTCAATTAAATTGGATAATTTTGCCACGCACCATTCAAAAGCTTACATTTTTACGAAAATTTTAAGGGGTTTCCGAAAGATTTTGGACTGAATGGAAAGTGGGCAGCGTCGATGAAAAATTGAGAAAGAATGCCCAATATATATCTATAAATTTTTATTGTTAATAATTATTCAAACAATAATTTTTTTGAAAGTATATAATGTATATCATTATTGTATATTACTAGATATATAATTTTTTTTGGTAATTTAAAATTTTATAATTTAATTTTATAAAAACCTATACAAATTTTCTATTTGGCTGAATCCATTTCAAGTTGTAGATTTTTCTGTTGATGAAATATGTTATTCTACATGAAAAATAAAGAGACACTTTTTTTATTTTTCATAAAAATTATGTTTAACGAAGTTATGGTCATTTGAAGTTTGAGTGGTAAAACTCGAAAGAACAATGAAAAAAAATTGTTTCGCCTGTAATTTTTTTTCTAATGAATGCAATCAAATTATTTTTCTTGGATCTTGTAGAAGGTATATTCCTCTTTAAAATCCCATTTGAAATTTGAAAAAAAGTTCAAAATTATATGAAGAACCAATCCTAGGAGTTTCAAGCGGGCTAAACAATCCTGGTAGTAGGGAGAAATTTTTTTCGAAATATTTTTTTTACGAAATTTGAAATGGCTGACGTGCAGTTTCAAGAACAAATGAACTAACTGAAGTGAGTCATTTTATAACCAACAATAATGTATGTATAGAAAATAACCATAAAATCACTTTTTTCAACCAGGTTCTAAACATCAAAAAATTTATAATTTGACATTTTAAGTATCGTTAAAACCAATGATAATAAATATATAATTAATAAAAAGGTGAAAAAAGAAAAAATATTTTTTATAAATATTGTGATTCTTTCAGTAATATACTCTTGAAATATTTTCCAATTCAAATTATCATTCAAAAATTTTTTAAAAAACTTAAAGTTTTAATTTTCAATTTGGAAATTAATATTTGCAAATTTCATTTTCAAATAAATTGATTAAGTAAAATTAAAGATAGTTTATTTTATAATAATTCAAATATTAAAAAAATATTTTTTCAAATTATTATGAATTATTTTCACATATAAATAATTAAATATTTGTATTGCACATTAAAACACATTTAAAGTAACTAAATATTGGAATACATTATTGTTGGTTATAAAATGACTCACTTCAGTTAGTTCATTTGTTCTTGAAACTGCACGTCAGCCATTTCAAATTTCATAAAAAAAAATATTTCGATAAAAATTTCTCCTTACTACCAGGATTGTTTAGCCCGCTTGAAACTCTTAGGATTGGTTCTTCATATTGGTGGTCGGCCTGTATGTTTTGAAATGGATTCAGCCATTTATTAACATTAAGGTACATTGCTTAAAAATTTTTTTCAATTTTTAATTGCAATAAAAATTTGTTTAAAAAATTTAATATAAGTAAATTTAAAAATGTTTAAATCGTTAAATTTTTAGATCTTGATCTTTATAATGTATTATTAAATAATAGATAAAATAAAAAATTTTAAATTTGGTAACAAACTGTTTTATTTTTATTATGCAGATTAACATTTATCATTTCAAACATAATGTACATTAAGTTTAAGACTATTATCTAGTAATAATATCATACTTTAATTAACGTTTTACCTAAAAGTAATAAATTTTATAATATTTTTTTCTGCTCTTACTTCCACCAATATTACATTATTTATAAATTTAAATTAAAAAACACATTTATAAACAATATAATATAATAATCAATAATTATATTATTATAATAATTTTCCAAAAATCACGAAAATATATTATAAAAAATATGAAGATATATGTTTCATATAATAATTTTTTTTAATTGTGAACTATAAGTTTGAGGATTGCAATATTAAATTTAAATTAAAAATTTCAAAACATTCTACATGCCTATCGTAAAATATGTTTTTAAATAAATTATTAATTAATACAATGTTCTTCTTATTGGTAGAGATGAAACTTTGTCCAACAAAACATTTCTTATAGCAGTTCCATCATCTACATTATTTTCCTCGTAATTTTCCGGTTGTGGATATAAGTATGCAGCATTTTGATGCATTTCAGTCCAAATTTCTTTAAAATTATCTTTTTTAAATTCAACAATATTGTGCAATGTGCAACAAGCAGCCACTAATGGAGGAATGAATGTGTAATGACATTCTGCTTTTTTTGTAATTCGTCTCCATCTAGCTTTTAGTCTGCCAAAAGCTATTTCAACTTTGACTCTTCCGGAATTCATATATGAGAGATTCTTTTTCAATCGCCCCAGCCCAAAAAGTCAATGTTCTGGGATTGGCTTCATACTTTGCTAAATTGTTGTCCTATATGATAGTAATAAATCCCTAAAATATAAACTCATTAAAAAAATATTTGTAGAAAGTAGAGGGGGTTGAAGTTTTGACGTTAAGGGTAACATTGTCATTTTCAAATCCGTATAACTATGACAAAAGTTAATGGATTTTAATTTACCTATAATGAATTTTAATGCATTTTTCACGTACTTTTCAAAAAAGTATACGAAATTTAAAAAAAAAAATTTATGACCCCTTTTTTTCAAAATCAACCCTTATTTTTCGATTTTCACCCCTTCGGGTATTTTTTTTTTATTTTCATTGGAAAGCTGAGGTTTTTTCCCATGAGCTATGTAAATATGAAAGTGGGACAACAATAATTTTGTGAGAAACAGAATATTAAAGTAGGCGGTGCCGATAACGGGTATACCTGAAGATCATCTTCGAGGATTTAGGTAGGCACCGCCTAATTTAATATTATGTTTCTCACAAAATTATTGTTGTCCCACTTTCATATTTACATAGCTCATGGGAAAAAACCTCAGCTTTCCAATGAAAATAAAAAAAAATCCCCGAAGGGGTGAAAATCGAAAAATAAGGGTTGATTTTGAAAAAAGGGGTCATAAATTTTTTTTTTAAATTTCGTATACTTTTTTGAAAAGTACGTGAAAAATGCATTAAAATTCATTATAGGTAAATTAAAATCCATTAACTTTTGTCATAGCTAGGGGAATAGTGTCAGGGTTGGTCACTTGTCAGGGTTGGACACTTGGCTTTTTTTAAATAAGAACACTAGCGCCACCTGTGTGCGTACGAGACGAATCTTCTAGTAGTGTAACCTAACTTTTTGTGGCATTACATTTTTGGAGAATCAAAAGTAGCGTCTCCTGTGACTTCGGTGCAATCGAAGAGACAAAAAAAGTTTTGTTTGACTTGTGAATACACCTAAAAAATGTGTAAAAAAAGCAAGAATTCGGCAAGGTAAGCTTATTGAATGTATTGTGGGGTACATAATTTAAGAAGAAAAAAAGTCAAAAATCGAATGGCGACACATGTCTGGTTATGGTTAGCACAATTCGAAAATGATGCTTCTAGTTAGGGTTGGACACTTTATACAGTTAGGGTTAGACACCCATATTAATTATGAATTTGACATAATTTATAAATAAATATACAAATAAATTTTATTTTATTGATATTTCAGTGCAAAATTGTGCCAAAGATATTAGAAAAATAATACTTAAATTGTATAAATTTTGTTCATCATTTCATTGAGTTATTTGGAACAATAAAGCGTTATTTTTTGTAATTTGAGTTCATTCCTTTTTTAAACCCATGAAGCTTTACAATTTGTAAACAATAAGTAAAGATAACATGAAAAAATAAGAATAAAAAACATTACAAATGTTATTTTACGTTTTTACCAATAATGCGTTTCGATTTTCAAAAAGTGTCCAACCCTGACTGAAAAGTCCAACCCTGACTAGTTTTTTTTTTTTTTTTAATGTTTATAACTTTTTTAATTTTGGACCAATCAATTTACGGTCCACAGCAAAAGTCTTCCTCTTTTGTAGATCTTTCCACCCATATACCACAATTGACTGAATTTATCTAAACAAAATATTTATAAACAAAAAACCAAAACTGTGTCCAACCCTGACACTATTCCCCTATACGGATTTGAAAATGACAATGTTACCCTTAACGTCAAAACTTCAACCCCCTCTACTTTCTACAAATATTTTTTTAATGAGTTTATATTTTAGGGATTTATTACTATCATATAGGACAACAATTTAGCAAAGTATGAAGCCAATCCCAGAACATTGACTTTTTGGGCTGGGGCGATTGAAAAAGAATCTCTCATATGCGTTAAATGATTCTTGAATTTCGGTCCTACCAGATGTTCTTGAGAAACCTTTTATTAACCATAGTAGCAAAGGATATGCTGGATCTCCCATGATTAAAAAAGGAACTCTGGTGCTGTTGATTAATCTTGTAGCCTATAAAATAAAATATTTCATTTCCTTTATATGATATAATTATTACATGGATTCTTATTTGTGTCAAAGTATTTTTAGAAAAATTTAAAAAAAAAATTTTAAGTTTCATTTAAGCCATAATATATTTCTTTACCTGAGGCACAAATTGTTCATAATTAGTGAATAGATACGAATTTCTAAAAACATTTGAGTCGTGGTTGCAACCTGGCGATTCTATGTTTATATTGCGAAAACTGAAATTTTATATAACAATAATAAAATTTTACCAGCTCTAATATTTTACAAATATAAAAAGAAGATTTTTACATTAAATTATTATCCACTAGGCCCTGAAGAACGTAAGATGCCCAACCCTTCCTGTTTATAAAATCTCGATATCCATCGGAAGGTGGACGAATCGGTATGTGTCTGCCATCTATAGCACCAATAAAATTAGGCATTCCTGTAATTTTTTCAAATTCATTGGAGATTTTTCTGCATGCAATTTCATTTGGCATGGTTATCCATTTGGGCATTAATTTATTATTAATCGCCTTTGTAACTCGATGAATATGTTTCCGAACAGTTGTTGTATGCAAACCAAAAAGATGAGCAACAACACGGTACTCGCAAGAACTTGCATATAAAAATATTCCAATAGCAACTTGCTTTCTAACGTCAACTGGTTCTCTGGGTTGTAATTGATTAAATTTTGGCTTTAACTCAGAATTTAATTCTTTACAAATATATTCGAATGTTGATTTATTCATGCGAAAATTTTCTATCCAATCGTCACTTGTGAATTGAGGAACAATTTCTTCCCACCATCCAATATATCTATTTTACATCCAAACACGTCGTTCTCTCCTTGTATACAGTACCGTCCAGAAGTGTCAGGACGATTACACGCGACTCTCTGAAAAAACATGTTATCACTTTTTCAATCATATTTCTGCAACAAAAGGAGATACAAAAAAAACTCAAAAACGGTTAGAAAGCTTATTAAATTTTGAATAAAATAAGCCATGTTTGAAGCCATTCCGTTAATAATTTTCTGAGTTGTAGAGTGAGAAAGATGGAAAAAATATTATCAAATTTTCTAATTTTGGTCTCTTGACTTCAACATTTTCAAAAATCTAGAAAAATTTAGATAAAAATTTTTTAAAAACACAGAAATGTTCGCTAGAATTTCAGCTTTAAAATAAATTTTAGAAAATTAAAAAATATTAATCCGTCATCGAATTATCATTAAAAATGTGAAGCCATGTTGCGCCCGATCGATGCTTTGAAAATCAACTGTGACTACTCGATTCCGGTTCGCGCGGGAGCAAGCGGGAGAGAAAAGAGGGTCGGCTTTATGCGGGAACGATGAAATTTCGAGTTTCTTTACATATTCGTCGTGAAACGTGTAAAATTTAATCGTTCCCGCATAAATCCGACCCTGTTTTCTCTCCCGCTTGCTCCCGCGCGAAGCCGGAATCGAGTCGTCACAGTTGATTTTCAAAGCATCGATCGGGCGCAACACGGCTTCACATTTTTAATGATAATTCGATGACGGATTAATATTTTTTAATTTTCTAAAATTTATTTTAAAGATGAAATTCTAGCGAACATTTCTGTGTTTTTAAAAAATTTTTATCTAAATTTTTCTAGATTTTTGAAAATGTTGAAGTCAAGAGACCAAAATTAGAAAATTTGATAATATTTTTTCCATCTTTCTCACTCTACAACTCAGAAAATTATTAACGGAATGGCTTCAAACATGGCTTATTTTATTCAAAATTTAATAAGCTTTCTAACCGTTTTTGAGTTTTTTTTGTATCTCCTTTTGTTGCAGAAATATGATTGAAAAAGTGATAACATGTTTTTTCAGAGAGTCGCGTGTAATCGTCCTGATACTTCTGGACGGTACTGTATAAATGGTAAAATTGTAATTTTAATAATATAATTAAATTTTCCATTTCAATATCCTCAATGATTAATATCTCTTGAAGAAAAGCCCAATTCAAATTTAGATGCAATCTTAAATACGACATTATAAGAAGGAAAGAATATTGTACATAAAATATAAAATAAGGTTGCATATTTCCAGACATTGTTTTTTAATCCTAAAAAAATTATAAACAGAGTATTAAAGAATGTAATTCATTTAGGAAAAAATAATTCTAACAAAATAAATATTGTGAAAGATAAAAATATTTCAAATATGTGATGCGATCTGAAAAAAGTGACCTTAGAATAAAATGCATTATAGGTTATGTTGACAACAGTTTTACTAAAACCAAAAGTTTATTTTTTTTGTACAACTGAAATCAGATTTTATTGAATACTTAAGATGTAATGAAGACCTAAATATCATTAGTTTGTATTACGAATTAAACGTCTTTGTGTGTTTTTACTTAAAAATTTAAAAACATCACCTATAATTATTTGCTTCTAAGGTCCCTTTTTTCAAATCACGTCTTATATATTCTAAATATTAATAATAATTTAAATAATAATAATAATAAAATTAGTAGATATATATAAACACTATTAAAATATTTTAATTAAAATAAATACTTTTCTACCTACGATGTTAAAAATTTTCTTCAGTTTTATTTTATTTATTGTATTCATAAACAAGCATATTGAAAGGTATTTTTTAAATAAAAAAAAAATAAATTTTTTTTCAGAAATTATATAAACAAAATGTATCATTAGGCCAAATGCAATATTTATTATAAAATTTTGTTAGTATTTTCAGGTATGTAAAAATAGAAAGATGTAACAGAAATTTTGCACAAATTTAAAAATATGTATTTGTTTATAAAAAATACTGTTTTAATATAAAAATTAAAATTTTTTTCAACATTTAAAATTTAATAAAAAAACTGCAATTTTCTTCATTATGAAATATTAAAAAATTAAATAATTTTAGAGTTATATGTTATTGAAGTTTAGGTTAATTAAATTAATTTTTTTAATCCTAAAGAAAATAAAATGAATCCATAAGAAAATAATTTTTTTTGAAAAATAAAAAAACTTATAAAAATAATAAAAATAAATGATAATTAAAAAATAAAAAATACTAAAAATATTATTAACTTAACCTCAATTTCCCTATTATTTTTATTTTTTCTTTAATTACTTAAATAAAATATTTCAAAATCAAAATTTTTTAAAATATAATGAAGAATTGATTAAAAAAAATTACCTTCAACCATAAATAATTTAATTAATATTTAAAAAATAAATAATATGTACTTACTTCAACTAATTTTATAATTTAATACAACTTGAGAAACAGTTGCAGGAAAACAATTCAATACCTACCTTACCAACAAGTCTTCTAGGTTAGCAACCTTGATTTTACTCACTCATAGAGGAGAAAAGTTTCTCACTTTCGCATGAGAATGTTTCCCTTCTCACTGCGGTGTATAGTCACTCCATGTCGATGTCCGTGAGGAGTTCCAATCTTATATTCGTATACTTTAACATGGCATCCCATGTCAGTCCTGGCGTTGTATAATAATGCGCAGGATCAAGACCGTACGCGAGTAAACACTGATCCCTGAAATTTTCAAAATATTCGCGAGTAACAATACATCGGTTTGCATGTACAAATACACATAATCACCAAGATTTTGACAGTTAAATTCACTCCACACATTTTGCGCATGTACATAATCATTATCTGAAATATTAAAATCATTCGAAGTGCTATAAAAATTTTCTTTTGACGGTAATTGAGTTTCATTGAGTTTTTCCCTCGAGTCAATGTACTCATAGGGAAAAATTCATTTTCGCGTTAACAATTGAATTTTGTCTTCGCTGTAATTGGAAAAAACCGAATTAACAATTTTATATTCGTTGAGAAGGGACGCTAACTTGTCCAATCATGATGCCATGAATTTAAAGGAATCAATGAATAGAAATTTGATTAAACTATTTTTAATATTTTTTGTAAAGCTGATATACTTTTCTTTGTTTATAGGAAGTAAATCAACTCTACCTTCAAACTCAGTAGCAATAGCTTTAATAATAAAATGAGCGTCATAACCGCTAAGGTTATGAAAAACAACAGGTATGGTCGGTGATTCATGGTAATTAACATTGCAATCTTGATGCGCGGCACCTCGGTACTTTTAAAAATTCAAATTTCCCGCCAAGGGGGTTTGAATTGGTTGATAGCGCCATCTAGTGGTGGGAGCCAAATCTAACTCGGTCGGTAAAGTAGATTTCTACATTATTTAACTGACATTATTGGTAAGTTTCATGTGAATCGGTTAAGAATTATAGGCTCCAAGTGTGTCTAAATTATCAAAAAAATCAATTTTTTACCGTAAAAAATTTTGAGCATATTCAGATGTCATTGATTATTAATCGAGATTTTAACATAATTGATATTATTTCTATGTTTTATGCAAATCGGTAAAGAATTATGAGCTCCACGTTTACCTAAAAATCAAGCAAAAAATATTTTTTCATAAAAAATTGAAAATTTAAAAAAATTTTGAGTGTATAGAAATTTCCTGAAATGTATATCGAGATTATAACGTAATTAATATTATTTGTAAGATTCATGCGAATTCGTTGAACTCTATAGGCTCCAGGTGTGGCTAAAAAAATCAAAAATTTTTGAGTTTTTTAAGCCTAATTTTTACAATTCTTTGGGAATTCTCCCATTTTCACCACAGAAATTATTTTTTTAAATTTTTTACCCAGCAAAAAAGGTTTGAACGAAATCTGTAAAGAACTTTTCGAGATATTCAATTTTGGTCGAAAAATGACAATATTTTGAGAAAATATATTCGCGGAAAATTTTTTTTTACTTGGCGTCGATTCTCTACTGCGAATCTTGATAAATTTTGTATAAAATAAAAAATCATTAATAAAAGTCACTGAGATGTGGTACTAAACCCTTAAAACGAAAAGTCAGAGGGCGAAATAACTTGTGAATTAAGAGGTTATATACAGTCAGGCGGTCGAAAAAATGCAGTTTTTCGGGATTCTTTTTTCCAAGGACTATTTATTGATTGAAGCGGAAGTTTTCCTTTATTGTTTTATATCTTTTAAAGATTAAAAAAATATATTTAATTCGTAAAAATATTATTCCTTTTGGCCTCTATATCTTATCTCCCAAAGGTCCTCAAAAAAAGTGTCTGACCGTGAACATGATAACAATTGACAGAATCATTTAAAATCAAAAAGTTAAATTGATTCTGTTAGTGTATGAAAAAATGTCCTTAATCGAAAGAATTAAAAAATATCACTTTTTGACAAAACGGCAGCTTCTAAAAAAAAGTTCATTTTTTGAAAAAAATGAACTTCAAATGTTCATTAAAATTATAGTTTTAATTTCACTTAAAAGATCTTCGTTTAAGGACAGCAAAAAGTAGTTATTGAGCTTGTGTGAAAATTAGAGCTAAATCGGTTCAGTGGTTTTCGAGAAATCGTGTACACAGACTTGAAAAACATATTTTTTTGAGAAAAACGATTTTAAAGTTTCACAAACAGTTTACATTGAGTTAAAAAATTTTTTTTCAAACTTACATTGAATCATCAATTCAAGTATTTATTCGTCTAGAATATATACTCAGGTATATGAAAATTGCACTGTAGAATATAGAAGACGGGACAAAAGAATCAGATTTCTATAAGTACTCGTTACAGACGCCGTACCTGCTCTACACCCCACGGCGCGCCTTTCTAGTTTTGTCAGTAACTTCGAAAATATTTCTTGAATCTTAATAAAAATTTTTTCACAGCAGGCAAATATATACATTAAGAAAATGCAAAAAAATAGATTTTTTTAAAATTATGACTGTATATAACCCCTTAAGGTGTACACTTGTGTTCAATTATCCTGAATTACATGAATTATTTGCAGTATTGTAAATTATCATGAATTACCTTGAATTTCTTTCAATTATCTCGAATTACAATGAAATATCTTAAAGTATATGAATTAACCTTCATCTGAAGTATCGCGAAATGTAATGAATTCCCTATTGAAAATCCCTGTACAAGATCTTGTACAAGAAAATGTACATGTTCACCAGCTGAATTTGTATCAGTTCTGATGTGGAAAATGTACATTTTCTTGTATACAAGAAAATGTGACATGCACCCCCTATCCCAAACTGTGTAAGCAAGAATTATCATATTACAGAATTTCATTTTTTATAATTTATTTTTTTCGAATATTGTTAGAAGGTTATTGTATTTTATAACTTGTTTAAACAATTGATTGTTTATCGTTTCAAAGAATTTGATGCTAAAGAAAATAATGATAATAAATAAAAAAATTAGTTATTTTTATTTAAGTAATCAAAATAAATAATTAATCTGACGATATAGCTTTCTTTGTTTTTAAAAACGATTGCGAGTCTTTCCTTATTATCTCTCAGTTCTGAATAGAATAAAATTTACTTTTAATTTAAGTTAGTATTATAAATAAATAAAATAAATACAAACACACCTTTACTTTGTCATAATTTTGCTTGTAAATTGAATCGAAATATTGGTTTGTGGTTTACAAAAATCTACAAAAAAAATATGAAATAAATTATTTTAACAATATAACAAAACTTTACCTAATAAAACTTTTAAGAGTTAGTTTCTCCTAACTCTATTCTACCTTTGCTATTCTTGGTATTAAAAAAATTAAACTTCAATGAGTCATTATAGTTTAACAATATATTGTTAAACTATCATATTTACATTAAACTTCAATAGACTAATCTCTGTTTAAAACCCTACTAGATAATTAATTTATAATAAATTAATTATATCCTATTCTGGCTAAATCTCAGGTTTATCAGGATCATCTCTATTATTTAATCTTTCAAAATGTCAGGTATTTTTATTGTTTTGCCAAATAATAATTTATTTAATTAAAGATTTGGAAAGTCAGTCGTGTTGGTCGAAATCTTTCGAAGGCCCCTGAAAACAAACTTTCCTCTTTAACAATCTTTAATTGCCAATTTGAGAAGAACCAATCGTATTGGTAGAAATCGTTAGAGAGCCCCTAACAATTGGTCTCTCAAAATTAACAAATTTTAAATAAATTTTATTTTTAATTACGATTTAATCTTTGATATTTTTCTCGCCCAGAGATGCAGATCGTTTAGGTAGAGATCGTTAGAAAGCCCACAACAATCTCCAATTCTCAAGTTTAAAAGACTTGACATTGTAGATTTTGTTATTCGGAAAATTTCCTTATATTAAAATATAAAAGAAAGCTGTTACCAGTATAAAACTGTTTAGACCAAAGAGACAGAAACGTGCATTTACTTGGCTTATATAGTTGCGTCCCTACCCTTAATTTTCTGGGGTAAGTAAAATTCAAAATGTGCGAGTGTGTGAGTAAAGAATTTTAAATTCATTGAGCGAAAATCCGCGAGTTTCCCTCACCACTTTACGCAGAGCGCTTTTCCCATGTATTTCTTACCGCCAATTTCTCCCTCTATTTGTATTTTTCGCGGCGTCTATTTTCGGATAGTCAATTACATTTAAACTATTTTCTAAGGACAGAGATATTTTTCTCTCTCTAATTCCGTTTCTAACGCTCGCCGATAACAATGCCATTATCTACCTGTCAATCATTTTCCTTTAGCTGATTTTTTTTTCTAAAATCTTTAATTTCTCAAAAAATAATAATTTTAAAATTAGTATAGATGATAACTTTTTTGTATTTACATAATTTAGTCAAGATGTTAGTTATTTTTGGTAAAAATCCACATTTTATTTTTAAAATTCTTATTAAATGAGCTTTCGCCCGTCAACGTCGGGCCTCATCAGATTTAATAATTTTAAATAAAAAAATAATTAAAAATTGTAATAGAAAAATAATTTTCCCAAAAAGGTAGTGCTTCCGTGAAACCAAACATAATTCAAGCTATGTTGTATGATGTTTATGTGTCGATATGTGTTCTACAAGACACGTGTTTCAACGGATACTAATATAAGTTTAAAAGAAATTAAATTTGTTAAAAAATTAAAAATCTACTTTTTCATTTATGGGTATGATTAATGATGTAAAATCTATAATGTTCAGATGAGTTGATAACTGAGTGATCTACTGTATCACTTTAGTGCGTGTGATTCAAAATTAAGTTAAAATAACAATAATAACAATATCAATAATAATAATTAAAAATCTATAACAGCAGCATTAACATCAATTATATTATTAATTATAATACAATCAATGTTGAAATACCATACTACTATATTATCATCATATCATTATATCATAACCAATATTAATTAGTATTTACAATAAGAGAGTGGTATATTTGATTTAAAGATGTTAAGTCAGTTTTTTTATTAATTGAATTACTATTCCTTAAAATGTGAAACATCTCCTTAAATAATCTTTTTTTGTGATTCAATTCTGTGCAAATAATTTCAGTATTTTCAAACCGGAAATTGTGATCTTGGTCATGTGCGTGAATGACCAAAGCAGTACTTCTGTTGTCAAGTCTGTAGTCTCTTTTATGTTGATAGATTCTGTCTTTAATGCAATTACTTGTTTCACCAATATAACAGACCCCACATTAACATGGAATATTATAAACAACATGATTCCTATATTGGAAATTTGTAATATTTTTATTTTTTGAAAAAACTTTAAAGGGATCTTTTTAATAAGAGAAAATGACTTTAACATCATAGTCTCTGTAAATGTTTTCAAAAAAAGATTTTAACTCATTTACAAAAGGTAAAGCAATAAATAATATTACTTGTGTCGAACGGTGTTTTTTGTAGTTCAATTGTAGAGAAGAGTTTTTGAAATCTAATATTTATATGTTTTGATAAAAAAGATGAGGGATAATTGTCTTCTTTAAGAGTATTAAAAACAAAATTTAAATTTTGTTCATAAAATTTAACATTAGAGAGTCTAATTGCTCTGTCCATCAGACCGTATACTATAGATATCTAATCTTTTTCTGATACGTTTGGATTAAAATTAACGTATCTGCCAGAAAAGGTATCCTTATGATACCAGTTGGTGATCATAGAATCATTTTCTCTAATGATTGTGACATCAAGAAAATTAATAGAATTATTATTTTCAATTTCTATAGTCAATTGTATATTTTCATTATATTTGTTAGAAGCAGTAAGTAAATTGTTAATGTTATTTTCCTCAACAATGACAAAAATATCCTCAACATATCGACGATAAAAATAATATGGAAAACTTAATTTTTTTAAAACATCTTCTTCTAATTTTTCCATTACAAGGTCAGCTATGATGCCCGATATTGGTGAACCCATAGGTGTTCCAAAAATCTGCTTATAAAATTCTCTGTTAAAAGAACAATAGGCATTGTCAATACAAAACTCTAAGATATCCAAGAAGACGTTATCAGGAAGTTTGGTATATTGTCTAATTTCACGCAATTTTAACTTTACACTCAATACCAATGATTTAGGAATATTAGTAAAAAGAGATTTTGGGTCTAATGAAATTAATCTACAATTAGGTGTAATTTTTTTTTCAATTTTATGATAAAATATATATTTTAAATTATTAATATTAAATATTATAATAATAAAATAAAACAAAAAATAATCATAAAATTAATTTAGATAAATAAAATTATTCAAAGTACTTTTTACAACCCTCAACTTCTTATATTAATCATAAAAATACTTTTAAAAATTATTATTATTGCATTTATTTTTTATAAACAAATGGAGAAAATCAGTGAAAAACAGCGATTCTTTAAAAAATCATAACTTTATGAATAAATAAGATAATATCCGACCGTTTTAAACAGGAAATTAAAGGTTAATTATGTGGCTTTAAGAAAAAAATTGTATTTAATTTATTTAAGGTCATGTGATGGTTAGCTCTGTAATGTTAATTTGTCCGTAACTTTTCTCGTAAAATGCTGAATGGATTTTGATTTTTGCTCAGAATATCTTATTTTTTGTCCTAGAATACAATCCTCAAAGAAAATCTTGGTTGTTTTAATCTTTCATAATAATTTATTTCAGCTCACTGTGAAAAATTTTTATGCGACATCTGTAAGTTTAATTTAATTAAACTTAAATAAAGTTTAATTTATTTAAAACCTCCAGAGATATCTCTCAAACATAAACAATATTTCATTTAGAAAACAAGAATATATAATCACTACTACGAAACGTGGTAAAGCAATAATTGAATTGGATTAAATAAACTTAAACTCTGTATCGGAATCTTCTTATTCATCATCTTCTGACCAATCGTGATCTCGATCCCGTTCTCAATCACGCTTTCTGTCACAATTACGCCCTCCGTCACATCTCATATTATATTCTTTTCTTAAAAGTGTTAAGTACACATCTTGGTATAAAAATAAAAAAAATGTCTTTTATAAAATAATTTTTAATGTAATATTATACAAACTATTGGTAGAAGGAGAGTGTATATTAGAAAATACAAGGTTGTCACCCATTCCCTCTGTTAATATTTGCGAGCAATCACGTATATTTTACGAGTTGTTTTGGAGCATTTTGGCAAATTATAAAAGATTCTTTATTCAATTGCGTTTCTCACGATGAATCTTATGCAGCTGCATAAGGTTATAAGTACCGATGTGTTTATATTATATCAAGTCGCTTAGCCACTCAATACTACGGTCACTAGTAAGAGACCGGAATGTTTAGTCTTCTGACAGCTATGCTATACCACCTAATATAATTTTCACACCATTACTATTAGAAAAATGTAGCATCCGCAACTAAAGTTAGTATGTGACTCATATACTGCATCGCGAGGCGCAATCACATAAGCTTATGATTCTTGAACACAGGGTAGCTTTCGTCTCGCTTTGCAATTCCCCTGTAGAGAAGACGGAAGATGCATATGCCGACCTATTACTATTAAATCCAAGAAATTGTCTAGTTGTAGTACAATTCTTTCATAGTCTTACCGTGTCCTGCGTCTGTAACGCAACGTCCCCTAACCTAATCTTGCAAAGGTCTACAAAGTTCGTCAAGATCGCCAAATAAATGGCTTTATGCTATTATAAATTTTCAACATTTTTTCTCAATATTTAACAATAGCCACCTGCTGTAATAAAAATTATTTTTTCCTTAAAAAACGAACTTAAATTATTCTCTTGCAGCTGCCGAAGTGTTACCCAGATAACAATCGTGCAGCGCACGTTACGCACTTTACGTGCGAGTCATAACGCACGCATATTGCATTCACGAAGTGATGGTTGCACTAGTGCTTGTACAGTGAGTAACATTTGAGTTTCACTCATGCGAGTGGGTTCTCGCACGTGTGAAGGTATCATATGTGTTTACGTAAAATAGCAAATGAACATTTGTCAAAGTTGTTTTATACAAGTTGGTTTACATACACTGTATAGGCGGGTGTAGAAATTTCATACAAGTGTAAAAGAATTTTAGAAATGTTGTCTATTCAAATGGGTTAACAATAAGACGAATGACCATTGGTTAGAAGTTTTAAATGTTCGAATTTCAATTATCTAAAGTTTTCATCTAATCACATTTCCATTTAGTATAATTTTTACTGCTTCAAAATATTACTTTACATAAATTTCAATTTTTTAAACTTTATTTGTTATAATTGTTATTTGTCTAAAATCCACATAACCTAAAATTCACTGACACTATTTGCTATTTGACATAATTCACAAAACACAGAAAATTCAAATGTCCTTAATTTTGTTTATCCGATATATAATTTTTCATAATCTCTATTTCTTACACTGAAATATAATACTACTGGAACAGGAACGCACGGTCTCGCCTGTAAGAAAAAATCGGTTCTGCGACAGACTCTATCGAAGGTCTAGCTTTCTCTCTCACTAGTATTGTGCGAACGCTCAGAACGCGTCATCACAGTGAAGTCCAAAAGTTTTAAATGCTTTTAAAGTGTCACTGTTTGTTGTAGTTTCGAACCGTTCGCCAACACAAATTTCGAAAAAAAAATAAAAATGGTAAGAGCTTGCTGTATAAAAAATTGTTACAGTGTGTGGAAGCCGGATGAAAATGTAACATATCACAAGTAAGTAAGTGTTGCATTTATTAAATAATATGTAAAAATTCCTTTTATTATATTTCATTAATATTATGTTAAATAAATCGATTTTAATTATAATAAATTAACTTGTAATATACGTTTAATAGTAATATATTATTAAAAATTTTATTAATATGTATTAATTTTTGTTTTTTATCGTTGTCAATGTTTTTAAATTTTATATATCTGTTTAAATTTTTCAAGTAAATGACTAACGTCATACTCATTATGACAAAGTTATTATTGCTCGGTTCTATTGTTTCGGAAAAGTAATGCCACGCATTTATTGAATAAGAAATTTTTATTTTGTAATAGTAATTTGATTCACTTACAAAAATTTGTTAAATTCAAAACTGAAATTTTATTTATATTGATTCAATTGAAAAATAAATAATTTAAAATTGTCAAAAAAATTATAAAAAGTAAGTTTCATATTGTAACGTATGGTCCTTGATTGAATTGAATCATGCGCGGAGAGACGTAGAGAAATTGTCGTCGAGGTTAAATGTAAGGTGGCGATAGAGATATCATGTAAATA